GATACTTCAGGTTATCATGGTGGCGCGTATGAAAATTACCGTCTTCTGGGATGTTGCGCCGTGTAATCTCATACAAATTTACCGACGTTTCAGAGATTCTTATTGTCTCCTCTGAAACGTCGATCAATTTATACCGTACTACTAGGTGTAAGTTCGCAGAACACGGTAAATTTCATAATCGCCAAAGTGAGAACCTGAAATCTCATGTCTTAGATCATATCTGAGAATTTTAACGTAGCAGAAATTAAACACGATTATAAATAACCAGGCTTCAATATTCAAAGAATTTCTCATCGACGCAAACAGTTTTATGAACATACATGTGATTTGAGGTTCTCATGCCATAACAGTCCACAAGATCAACACCGATAATAAGATCATATGTGGAGCAGTTTTGTAATTCCTACCTATCACTTAATATCCAAATTTATCTTTACGCAGTAAAGTATGTTAGGTATTGTTTATGATGACGATGATAATTATGACGTAATTAAGGATAATATTCCATCATTCTCCTTGAGACAATAAACCACGAAACACATTACAAATTCAGATTCAAAAACCAAAGATGACCTAAGTTCCGAAAATTGAAAGCTCTGACCAAGCTTCTGTTATAATTCTACCACCTATTCTTTATGAGTGTATAAATTGTCGCTGTCTGAAAGAACACAGATTTAGGATGTCAGGAAACCAAGGGCTAAGGAGAATAGACTAACTGAAAATATGAAAAATCACGCCTACTACGTTATTTCTGACCTCATATTATTGCGGTGATTAAAACAGAATGAGACGGGCGGGGGGCATCTAGAACGTATTTGGAAAACATCAAATAGGTGCACAAAAAGCTTTTAGTTTGGAAACTTAATGGAAGGAGACTAAACACAGCTAAAATTATTGGATACTTGTGGGTTATCGGGACACATCGCTTTAAAAATAGGTTAGGTTAGGTTAGGTTAGGGTTGTTCTTATCTGTTAATTCGTTCAGTTATTTATTACTCTCCACACACATTAACCTAACCTAACCTAACCTAACCTAACCTATTTTTAAAGCGATGCGTCCCGATAACCCACAAGTACCAATTATTGTTATAAATACAGCGAATAAAGATATTAAATGCTGGATTATCTGATGACGATGAAGGACTATTGAACAGCACACTTTAGCCAGGTACCGACAACCTGATACCGGGCTCCGTAATATCGAGATTAGGCAGTGGGTGGATACTTGCTGGTGGCTAAGAACGAGTGTAGGCGCCTGCCCGCTGCGTACACACAAACACACACACGCTTGCACGCGCATGGAATCTGGCTCCGTGGGGTCTCACACAGACGTAATGACACACCGCTCAGAGCGGCTTGCGCATTGCGCATGAATGGGCCATGCTACATCAGCATCTGATCAGCCTGCGATTTGTTGCTTCAATTCCGAGGTAAACACTTTCTTATTCTCATTCAACGTCGGAGTGGACTGGCTGGCAGTATTCGGGAGGTCCCAGATTCAATTCTCTGCCCATGACAGCTTCCTTCCGCATGATTTTATCTTCAATTTCACTATAATTGTGTCGGGGAGCCATTCGCTGGCACGCACACCTTTTGCAGATTTTGAATAAAAGTTGAGATAAGACATCTGCCAGGAAAATCATTTCATGTTCAAATGAAAACATTTCAAATCCATACTGTGAAAATGTAGACTGATAACCAGAAAACGTGATTAACTGTAAAACTGACAAGACTTGTTACTTTTAATTTCTTTCAGTATCAGTGCCACTGCATGGGATCGAATCCGAAATTTTTATAAAAAATAATTGCCTAGTACGTTAATATTCCTGTGGTGGTTATCGTATTAGCAGCGTAATGTTCCAAAGGTCCCGAGTTTGACCTCAACCGGCCCAATTAGTACTAAAAATAATATAAGTATATTGACAACAGGAATAGAGGAACCTCCCGAAACGCCATTTGTATCAATTTTTGTAGCTCGATTAAAAAAAATTGTCAGTGGAACCACGGTTCCGGAGAATTTGACGTAAATACGTCTATACGGAAATGAAGTTTATATATTGGCTTTATTCTAAATATTTCCTTTATACATGCTTTACAATTGAGATAAGTTTGATTAAGACATTGCTTAATCAACTTGAATTAGTTACGCTTAAATGGGTCTGTGGTAGCTGAATGTAATGTAAAGTAATGTAATGTTTTATAGGTAATAACAATGCCGAGTACGCAGATGACGTTTCCTAGGTAACAACAATGCCGAGTAAAGAGATGTTTCTTAGGTAACCATTGTTGTTTATTTGTTGATAAACAGATGAAGTTTCCTAGGTAACTATCTTACACATTTTCGTCACACTTTTTGCGGAATGACACTGACCCTAAAATATAGACGTATTTACGTCAAAAGATGAAGTGAATTATAATTCCTTCCTCTCGACCACTAAAGCCACTAGCATACACAGAATATATATAACATAGAAAATGAGCGCGTGCGTGTATGTAATGTAGGCCTACCCCTTTCTACGATGGCGCTGGTGCAGGTAATCTACCTGTTTTCTACACTTGTTACAAGTGTATCTTTCTGAACTAGTTTTGATTAACGAGATAGCTCAGTAGACCTACAA